CTTTCTCCAAATGAGAAATTGATAGATGATGAGCTGCGTGCCCCAAATGTTATTGAAACATTTATCTGTTGAGAGATAAATGAGTAGTTGATGGGGTTGTGACAAGAATTGGCCTGGGCTTTGCCTTTTTCAATATTAGTCTCCAAAGAATCGAGAACTAATAGATTGTGTGGTATACCCGGATTATATAAGTTTGGAACAGGATTTCGTATTCTTTTAATCCTGACATAACTCTCGTCAATTCTTTTAGCTCACAACAACTACCCCTCTCTTTTTCATTTTAGTCTCGGCACACAAACCCTTTGTATCTAAGCTCACTCAGATATGGTTGTCCTCTTGGGTAGGTCTGTCGGTTTTGACATTCCATAGAGGTATTTCTGATAAGCACTCAGTCCCTCCTAAAAGTTTAGAGTTATGCACATATGATCATAAAGGATGATCAACAATAATTTTGGCTTTAAGCACAATCAATAAAGAATGAAGCGACAACGATTATTTGATATGTATGAGAGAAATGAATGAAGATCTGTAAGAACAAGTTTACAGATTCTGATATTAAAAGAAATGAATGAATATGTATCAATCAAAGAAAAATAGAATATCAGAAAACAATTTTGAATACAAACGAGTGTATTATCACCGAAAATGATTTTCGTATAAGAGACGTGATAATAACAGTTTGAAGAATAGCTGAAACAGGTATTGGAATTATGTACGATGAGAATTTACGCAAGTAAAAACTCAGGAAATACCTGTTCAGAAAATGTACTCGTTATCCAAAAAAAATTAATTTCCAAAAAAAATTATTGAATTTTCTAAGGATACTCCCCCTAGAAAATAGATTTAAGTAATGAATCATTTTAAGCTCAAAAATGAAAAAAAAAACATTTTAAGTAGGGGTTCTGAACTGAAGTGTTCAGAAGCCTCAAAGTGAAGCTCGGGTCCTAAATTGGATGTTTAGAAGCCTTTTAAAAAAAACCAAATTCATAACATTGTATTACACATTGATAATAGAGAGTTTGACCAAAGCTTACATGTTTGACTTTCTCTCTCAATATTCATAACATTGTTCTTGGTGTTCTTGAATGAAAATATGAATCTGCCATTGTTGATTATGAAGATTATGAAGATTGATCAGTAATTATGGACACACATGTATCTCCGCCGCCCATTTCCCCCATCGTCGTCGTTGTACTCCTCCGTATTTCCTCATCCACTCCCCTATTCCCTCGAATTGGTCCATTTTCGTCGTCGGATTCTGCACCCTGGTGGTGGTGCGGTAGTCGTTTTGATTTTATTTAATTTTGGGATATTTCATAATTTCGGAAAGAAAAAAAAAAACTAACCCATTGAAGACGATAATTCTACACCTCCAAAATCTGCAACCCCCCCCCCCCCCCCCCCCCTCAAAACAAAATCTTGGATGAAATTGTTCCAAAAATTGATTAACAAGAACATTTTTTTTTTTTGTCTGAGCAAATGAACGACTCCACGATGAGTAAACAGACAACATTAAATCCATGGAGTAAAATATTCCCAATAGGCTTACCACCACCATCAACATAGACTAATGAGCTCTCAAAATCGAAGGTCTAGGTCGTGGAGGGCAGGGGGTCACAGTGACCACCGCCTTCCCAAAGAAACATAAAGACCTCTACCTCTTCCCCAACTGTTTGAATTTGTCTCCAAAGTCCAATCAGATAAAGAGGCCCAACACTTTTATCCATACATGACTTAATGGAAAACCAACCAAACAACCTATAGAAGTGTGTTTGATTGCATATGAATTGTTTTGGACCTCTTTCAAAGGTCTGGGTTTTTGAAGTTTTTGGTATAAATAAAACTTGAAATCCTTGATATATAATTTATATTTTTTTCAAAAATCCTATCTATGTATAACCCGTCTCAAACTGGGCCTTTAATTTGCCTAAAAACATAACTGGTCCTTACTAGGCCCGGTTCTAAGCCAGTCCCGGGCGGGGCCCATTTGGGCCCTCTCTATTTGAGACCCTCTCAAATCATCAACAATCCTAGTTTGATGTCATCAACCAACAATATTTGGTTTCTCTAGGCGAATTCCGGATACCCTGCTAGCACTCACTTCTGCAAGGATTCCCACATTCTTATTCACTAGACAATTTCATGAATAAAGGAAGCAAGTGCAAACAAGAACCTAAATTCACATGTGAATTCAAAGAAGATATTTGTGTGCCTTCACATGTGTGTTTCAACAATTCAAACATAAACATACCTATGTGATGTCGTCTTCACTATAATCGGAATCACTTCTATCAAAGTTAATAGTTCGGGCTTCTTCTTTTAGATCAGAGGATATGTTTTCTGGCTTTAGAAGATCCTTTAAATCCCCTACAATATATGGATCCACCAATTTCCAAAACCATGTTGAATTGCTTCCAAGTAAACCTATCCAAAAGAATCTCCCCTTTCGCTTAACCTTACAACTCAATGACTTTTTCCCTAAGGTTTTAACAATTCTATCAACACCATCTTCACTTCCCCTAAGCTTCAATAAGATATCTCCAGAGGAAGTTCTGTATCCTCCATACATGTACCAATATGCAAGAACTCGAGGTGACAACCAGCGATGGATTAGTTTCGGAATTACAGGCTGACCTTGTGGCCAGAACTGGTCTGCATAAAACCCGAAATAAGAGTGTGAGATTGTTGTAAACTGGCAACTTTTATCCTCATTGCCATCTTGTTTCTTAGATGAATCCAACCACTTGTGGTACTGGTTGCGTATATGTCTCTTTAAGACCTTATGCACACCAGAGTCTTCATTGAACTTGAAAACGAGCTTATGATTCTTTCCTTGTTCATCTGATTCAATCTGTAGACCACCTAACAGCAATCCCACCAGAGCTTCTCGTTGTTCTTTACTGAGCTTCAGGATTATTGGGTTCTTGACAGCTTCTTCATTTGCTCGTAAAACCTTTTCCAGCTTTTCCATTAAAGCGGGTTCAATTTGAAACTTTTTCTCCCTCATCAAACCATATATCTGTTCTGCTTTCACATTCTCTCTACCATCTAAGTACCCTCTTAAAATAGTGTTGCAAGATTTGGTATCAACGCCAACAGTCTCATCACTTTGCATTTGGCGTAATATCTCCTCAGCCTTATCAAGACTGCCAGAATGTACCAGTGATTTGAGATATATATTGTAGATGGTACGATTGGGACGACATTTCTCAAAGGACTGAAAGAAATAATACTCCAACTTATCGTGCATGCCTAATGTAAGGTACATTTCCATTAAATTTATAAACGATGGCATTAATGCCTTCTTACCACTTCCAATGAACTCTTTCATGAGAGACTCGGCAAGTTCTGTAGTGTGCGCTTTACACAATACTTCTATAATTTTATGAAATGCCACAGTGCTGGCTGAACCAGAATGCTCTTGCATACCCCTAAATACCTCCAATGATCTCATGTGTTCTCCAATTCTTGCATAGACTTCCATTTTATACACAAAAGCTAGGGAAGGAATGGTATCAGTAGAGCTAACAAGTTTTGTCCAAGTCTTTTCAGCTTCTTCTATATCCCCATCCTTGGAACAAGCTCTCAAAACAGACACAAGAACTTCTTTACTCTCCTCAAATCCAGCTAACTGCATCTCGGATCTTAGTGATACAATTCTTTCCATGTCTATCTTATCCTGATGGCTGTGCAGCCAAATAAGACCCCCGTAAATATCCTTGTGAATCTTGAATCCAGATGTTACCATCTGATGAAATATGAATTCTGCCTGATTAACATATTGTTTGGGAGAGTCATTGGGTTTGCTCAGAAGTGCTTTGAAAAGAGAATTGTGCAGGCTAAGCCGCGGACTATAACCTCCTAATTGAATCATTCGATTGTAGATAGCACATGCTTCATCCAAACAACCCCGATTGGATGAACTAAGATAGGAAACTATCAGAATATGAAAAGTGTATTCTGTAGGCACTAACCCATGATTAATTATATCATCGAATATATCCCGACATTTCAAGTATTTTCGCTCCTTGCCCATGTAATCTGCTAGCTTGGTAGCAAGAGAGAAATCAAAACGAAACCAATGTTGTTGCATCATCCATTTGTACACCTAAAATGAACCAAATCAAAAGGCAAAATGAACCATTTCACGTTAATGAGAATAGAAAGTGGATAATAATATCCATCGAAACTGAGGGGGGCAAGTAGAATACGATCAAGAATTATAGCAACAGTATCAGTTAAAAGAAAAGGATGAATTTTTACCCTAAACCCGGTCTCATTTTCACGAATTCGCATACAATGAACAGCTAGATAAGTCATATCTTCTTGATTAACCCACTTCCTCTGAGCATTCAGTATTCTAATAACCGTAGCCGGGTTATGCGACGGGAGCTCTTTACACAACCACGCCAACTTAGACCTCCTCCACTGTTCAGGCAGCTCATCCAATTCCTTCACATCAAGGGATGGAGATACATTCAAATTCTTGGAATCAACACTTGACGTCCCAAAAGAGGCATCAAATGTAAAAACCTTGGTTTCTTTGTCAAAATCCAAATTTTCATCTTCGCACGCCAATTGGTCGACGAAATTATTGACTGAAGATAGGTCTGGTGAGCGAGTATGAAATAGCGAAATTCGAGGTGGGTTGGGTGGTTGGTTTTTGTTAAGAAGGGAGCAAGTCGTGCAGATGAGGAGGCGAGGGTGGCGGTGGTTAGGGAGGTAGGTGGAGAGTGAACGAAGGATGGATAGGGATGTTGGCATGGGTGTGGTGTAGGTTTTATGAGAGGCAGAATCCGCACCAATTTTTTCCCTGACTAACCCAATACTGAAAAACAATGAAATAGGATGTCATTGAGATAGTAAAGGACATCAAATATCATATGTACTGTGTACAAAGCATAAACCATGACAAAACTAAGCAATCCAAAGCGTGTAAGATAGAATCATAGAGCACATATTCAGTGCATAGGTTTTACATAGAAATAAAATTGGTAGAAATACTAAAACCAGCCACTTTAGATTAAAACATTGGCAAACAAGGTTTCAGGAACGCATATTATATACAAATGCCATACTGCCATTCATATGACAAACTCGATTAGTACGATCATGTGGCAGAGGTTGTTTGGAGGCTATAAGTAGTATGTTACTAGAGAAAAGGGGCAGGAGCATATTTTGGTGATTAATTTGAGTATTTCCACCGAATAGACTTGTGGTTGGAACATCACATAGCACTACAGTTGATAGATTCTAACTTGCAACATTTAGAGTGATGCTCCATGGAAGAACCCAGCAAAAAAATTTAACTATGAAGTCTTTGCAAAAATCTCCTGGAAATTTGGGAACAAGACCACCGATCAACAAAGCTGAAGGTGCAGCCCGTCGACGCAGCAACAGTGAGGACGGAATCACAACTTATTGCAAATGACTAAAGGATTTGACCAAGCTGGGAAGCTTAGAAAAGAAACTGAACTTTCCGTTGAAGCCTTGGAGGAAACAGTCTGACTAGTCCAAGACTGGGAAGCAAAGATCACCGAGCTCAACTTGAAGACATTTAATGTGAAAAGCAAAGAAGAAGCTGATAATACCGCCAGCCAAATTAATGTAACAAAACCCATATTTCCTATTTCGATCGAGACGACCCCTGAGGTGGCTTAGAAAGGGGTTTATTCTTCTCATTCTGCCCTATGGCTGACTACCAAAGGATGGACTGTGCTGCTTGACAAGATTATGAGGGTAGTGACTAGTGACGGCCCTTTTCCTAATTTGAGGTACACCTCCAGCTTTCTCAAGTACCTGTAGGAACTGAAAGCCATAAGGAACATTTTAAATGTGGTGGACCCTGGGTTAGTAGAACCATTTTACTGGAGTCTTCCATCTCAGGCTTGAGTGAAGATATCAGGCATAGAGTGAGGCAGTGGAAACCTGCATCCTTACTAAGGGGAATTGGTCAACAAAGGATCAAACAGTGTGTACAAATAAGCAAAAGGGGAGAAATAATTACACGAATACTAATGTAATTACCCAGATAAAATTTATCCAAAAAGGAGATGGGCCTCATGCTTGTGGGGACAAGTGGCAGAAAAACCTGTGTGTAGAAAACCCAAATTGTACATAATACAAAAAGGGGAGCTCGTTGAAGGGTATAATATGGAGGAGGAAGCCAGAGTTTCGAATGCAATGAAGAGATTAATGAAGTAGAAGGGGAAATGTAAGTTCAAGCAATTAACGGGTGAGGCCATAGCACAGGTAGTCATTTGACAGTTCAAGAAGCTTCCATTTAAGATCAACCCACAATCTTTTTGTTGCCACCATGGTTGAGATGATTGGGAGCATGGTGGAAGAACTAAGCCTATGGTCAATACCATATCCAATTTAAGAGATTCTAAAAAACTCATATATGTTGAACTTTTACATAGAAAATGCAAGGAAGATTTTCAGAACAGAGGTCATGACAATTCAGCTGGGAGGATATTTGGCATTATGTGGCTCCAGACACTAGGACCTATGCAACTTGATTTCAAGAAGAAGATCAATGAAATTTTAGTTCAATGGTGAGGAGGTTTACATTAGAAGGGATGAACGCATAGGTGAACTTCAGTTAATTAAGGCCAAAGCCTTGGATAGATGTTTGGCACAATACACGTCTGCAATCACATCACAGCATATGATAATTCAAGGAATGACTGCCAACAGCCTAGTGCCCATTGAGAATGAAGCCTTACTAAAGCACAATTATTAAATGTTTCGGCATCAGCGCACTTCTCACTAAAAAAGTCATTTCATTGCAGTTTAGTTGATTCAAACTTATCTTCTGTTTATCTCATCTTCTTCAATGAATCCAATCTTTCCTCCCACACATTCGTGGTTTGGAACATTTCTTAGCTAAATTCCAACTTGCAAACAGGTTTCCGGAATGCCACTGGTTAACTAACATGAATGGTTTTGTTGTTATTCGGTTGCTTGGTTCTCTATCTTATCATTATCAACGACAATGAGAACGTAATTCCCACGATAAACCTCCATGAAATAAATTACAATTACGTGAAATCGAACTACGTTCATATCAGAAAATAAAAAGAATACCATCGATTGATTATAATAGCTTTCATAGAATCCATTAGAACCAGTAACAGGAGAAATGAAGACGGTACCTCAGTCATTGCAGGTGTGGATATTAAAGCAGAATCCCAATGTCAAAAATGAAGAATTCCCACGATTTTCTCCACAATTTGCGCATTTAGAAGATTTTATCAGGATTAGGGCTTCCAACTTTGCTCGAAGCGAACCCTAGACTTTGCTCGAAGTGAACCCTAGACTTTGCTCGAAGTTTTTCTATCAAGAGGCTCTTCAATTGACCCCCGTCAAAATAGCATATTTGCACATATTACCCTTCAAACTTCTATTGTTGCCCTTTTGTCACCAAAGTGATTTATACCTAAGCTAGAAATAACAGAGTGAGCTAAGGTTGCGTCAGGACACGACAAGACTCATTGTCCTACATTTTGGTGCGATATAGGACATGACAAAATTCATCTCTCACGTTTGACATGACATGACAAATACTTACCAATAACCTCGTCAAAGCTGATCAAACGAAGGTTTTAATGCTCAACAATCTAAGAGAACATGATGTACAACAAATTGAGGCCCTGCAACGTATATAGAACTAGATCTGACTCATCTACGCACTCCCAGTTGATCTTAATGGGCTTGCAACTTTCTTAACCAAATCACGAATATGTTTGTGATAGACAATGATCCTGACTTCATTGTCTGAAATTGCGTTGAAATCTTTTCGCAAATGCTTTGTATCGTTAGGAATTAAAGATAGAGGGGGGCTTGAAATTTAGCTAGGAACAACTCTGCATATTGCCGTAGAATCAATTTGATTAAAAAAAACACATAGATTTATGAAGTTGATATACTCCAAATTTGATATATGTGTGTGTGCGCGCGTGTTGTACAAAAACACACGTCTCCCTTCTTTCCCTTAGACCATCCTGTCAAAACTCGAAACCCCTCTACCGCTCACCCCCTTCTTCTCCGGCAATAGCCTTCATCGTTGGCCACTCCTTGATCAAAGGTACCCAACCAAACACGTGCTGCTTTATGTGGGTCTGGTATCTCCGTCGCCCATTTCCCCATGGTTGTCGTCGTACTACTCTATATTTCCTCATCCACTCCCATGTTCCCTCGAATTGGTCCATTTTCATCGTCGAATTCTGCAACGTGGTGGTGATGGTGGTGGCAGTGGTCATTTTGATTTTGGGATATTTCATAATTTCGGGAAAAAAAAAAAAACTAACCCATCGAAGAAGATGACTCTCCACCTCCAAAATTTGCAAACCCCCACAAAATCTTTGACGAAATTGTTCTGAAAATTGATTAACTATTTCTTCTTGATCACGAACACTATTTTTGTCTAGCAAATCAATCAAAGCTAACGATGAATAAGCAGACAACATTGAATCCATGGAATAAATATTCCCAACAGGCCCACCACCACCATCGATAGAGACTAAAGAGCTCTCAAATCGATGGTTTAGGTCGTGGAGGACAGGGGGTCACAGTGACCACCTTCTTCCCGACCAAACACAAAGACCTCCACCTCTCCCCCAACTGTTGAATTTGTCTCCAAAATTCAAACAAATAAAGAGGCCCAACATTGTCTAATGTGGCTCGCTATACATGCTTCCAAACCCATTTTAGACCTCCAATTTATCTTCATTCTGAGTATTCTACTTCAACATCTTGATAGTGGATTTTTCGATGATCGCCTTCACCTCATGTTTTGGGATTTCCATGTAAAATCGGATGTCGTTTCTCTCCTTTATTTCTCTGCAATTCATTTACGTGCGTGCGTTGGTGTTTCAATTATTTGATTATTTGTTCATCGAAGTTTTTGATAGATAATTTTGTTTTCGCTTGAATCAATATGGTCCTTATTTGGAGCACCGATTTTTGGTTGGTTTGGGGACGTTTGGCAGCAAGTAATCAAATAGATCAAACCTGACCACAAAAAGGTGAATTATAAAAAGTATTTCTATCTGTATAACTAAAAAACATCGAGCAAGTTGGAAAAAGATTAAACAAATCACTAACAATAGTTGAAATTTTGGACAAATATTGAGCAAATCGAATGATGGTTTGAAAATTTGGATTTTATTTTTGACGAAATTCGGAATTTTGCCAATTTAGATGACACAGTCAATTGCTAAATGAAAACTAAAAACATATATGGCGTCTGTTTTCTAAGAGGCGCTGAAATCTGAAGTATGATTTCACTTTTGATTTATAAGAGGTGGTGCTAAATTCTGAAATTTGGATCAGTAAGATTATTTATTTTTACGTCTGAAATCTGAATCGACCAAACTAGTGCAAAATATAAAAGATAACTAGTTTTTGTTAACAAATTTCCTCCAACCCCAAAATATGAACCATTTGATAGAGGGCGGATTAGGATTAAGAGGTATTAAATGATACGTTTACCACTTAAAATTTCAAATGACATTTAGGGCTTTTAAGTGTTATTTAAAAAAACAAACGTTCTTAATAACCAAACGTCTGAATAAATCAGACTTCAGAGATATTAAGAGACAATTTTGAAAAAACAAACAAAACCTATTAATGTCTTAGACAAACTTTTGTTAATTGTGCCATAAAGTTGAATTTATAACATGAAAATTAAATTTAATTAATATATGCGTAGTTTTTGACGGTCGGTTCGGTCCAGACCGCTCAAAGAAATGTTCAAACCGCAAAATAAATCGAACCGAGTGTTTAGATGAAATCTCAAGCTCCATTTTACTTCACAGAATTGGAAAACAAATATGCGGCCAAAAATCTTCACATTTAGTAACTTGACCACAATAATGTATTAGGTCACAAACGACACGTGCATTAATCAGAACACAAACTTTTATCTTCAACGACTCCAGATGAAAATAAATAAATCTATACTACCTTATAAATCAGATTTATCAAAAGTCTTAAAAACAAATTTTAATGCACAAGGTAGTATACATTTATGCACAAAGTCTTAAAAACAACTCATAATGTATTAAGTACTACTACTTTATGCATTCAGTCTTAAAATCTCTTAATCTACAATTAAAATAACATATAGTACAAGTTACCAATGCACATTATTATTTTTTCTTTTCATGTTCTCAAGATACTTTTGACACATTTCACTCATGTCTTCACCATCTCATACCTCTATGTTTTCTTTTCATTCCCCAGGGTGAAATTCAAATTGATATTCATTATGATTATTAAAAGTTCTCTCATTCATCTCCTATTCAATTGCTCCAGGACTTTCGCTCTCGATCTCTTGATTCTTTGCTCCTGGTGTAAATCGAACACATTTGTGGAGTCGTTTAAATATGTTGGATTTTAAATATATTGAATATTAAACTGTCATACAATTTTTTTCATCGATAAACTGTAATTGAAACCATAATTATTATTTATTCAAATTGTATTAATATGTAAAGACCAAGTGTAACTTATATCATCGTTAAATTTTCTCTAATAAAACCAGTGGAACTTCAAAATCGTTAAAATTCATGGCTCCCGCCGCGTTGCACGGGACACAACTAGTAAAAAGGAAAAATACGAACACATAAAAAAAAATTCTTCCCTTTTTTTTCATCGATAAACTGTAATTGAAACCATAACTATTATTTATTCAAATTGTATTAATATGTAAAGATCAAGTGTAACTTATATCATCGTTAAATTTTTCTCTAATAAAACCAGTGGAACTTTAAAATCGTTAAAATTCACGGCTCCCGCCACGTTGCATGGGTACACAACTAGTAAAAAAGAAAAATACGAACACATAAAAAAAAAAAAAAATTCTTCCCTTTTTTTTCTTTTCCTTTCTTTTTCCATCTCTTTTTATTTTTTTTCTTCACAAATTCGAGAACACAACGTCAGGGTTTTAATTTGACTATCAAATTTTTTGCATCTTCCTGATTTCAAATCATGTTTATTTTACAAACATAAATAACAAGTTTTTGTTAAATTCACGTTTGTCTGTCATGTCTTGCATGCCGAACGAACCTTAACACCTAATTTAAGTTCAACTAACGTTTCAATAAGATGTACTGGTTGTTTTTCGTTTTATCTCTCCATAATTCCTCTAATATTTTTTCGAATATTTGTTCCACATGTAATTTTTATCATCTCGTTTTACCAATCAAGATTAATTTATTAGTTAACAAATAATTTATTGGCCAATATTTAGCTGACAACAATTAGTTTATCAACTAGTTCACAGGGAATATCAGCTTCACACGATCACATCAACCACCATGATCAGCTATAACCGGTCCCGGCGTAACCGGTCCCACCCTTAAATTTTTTTAATGATATATACTTTTAATACATTATTAAATTTGTCGTACGGGTCACTCAAATACACTTTACAAATACGTTTTATTACGAGAATTGTGAACGTTTTCTGCGAATTGAAAACTTGGTATGTAGACCTTTCAACCTTGTTACATATTTATAGTGTTTAGAGGCAAAAAAAAAGGGTTAAGAACGGCTATATTTATTTAAAAAACGGTCTTTTTTTTTTTTTGAATATTTTGGGTCGGGTCAGGCCGAGCCATAATCGGTCCCAGTCCCACAAATCCGACAAAAACCATAACCGGATGTAATCGGTGGTCCTCACCGGTCCCGGGCTGGGCCAGTCCTTAGCTGGTCCCGGTTTCAGTCCTCCGACGGTCCCGGTCTGGGCCGAGTCGGTTTGGCCATCACTAGTTATGACGGTGCAATTTTAAAGTTTGAATGCATGAAACATGAAGGGGTCAAATTTATAGAGCCATAAAAGTCTAGGGACAAGATGTGTAAATTATTCTTTTTGCACGTCCCCTTGAGTTTTCTACCAATGTTCACAACCAACCTTGTTCGTTTTTTAGGGTCCTCTGACATGAACCTCCTTAAACCCTACCGGAGAAACCTTCAGTTCTCCACCCTCTCCTCCCTGCCATCACCACCGCCGGGGCCTGATGTTCATCTGGTCGGAAAATCCATCGCCATTCTCAAACGCCACCACTTAGTCAACCTGGATTCTCTGTCCTCCCAATTCACCCCTCAATCAGCTTCTTATTTACTCCACAATGTTCAATTTGACAAAACCCTAACCCTATCATTCATCAATTGGGCTCGCAGACGTCCCTTCTTCGATCTAAGATGTAACTGCATCTCGCTTCACTTACTCACCAGATTCAAGCTCTATAAAACAGCTCAAATCATCGCCGAAGATGTAGCCATTCACAACCCTGATGATGAAGGTGGAGATTTGGTTTTTGCATGCGTTAAAGATACGTACTCTGAGTGTAGTTCTAGCTCTGCCGTCATTGATTTGCTGGTAAAATCTTATTCTAATATGAAAATGGTTAAAAGAGGTTTAAATACAATTCATTTAGCCATATCTTATGGTTTTATGCCTGGTGTGCTGTCGTATAATTCTGTTCTTGATGCGATAACTAGGTCTCATGAGCCCATCAAATTAGCTGAAGAAATGTATCTGCATATGATGAGAATTGGGGTTTCTCCAAATGTGTTTACTTATAATATACTGATACGTGGGTTTTGTGCGGTTAGGGAATTGGAGAAGGGTTTAGGGTTCTTTGCTGAAATGCAAAAAAATGGTTGCTTGCCTAATGTTGTCACTTATAATACATTAATTGATGCTTATTGCAAGTTGAGGAGGCTTGATGATGCATTCAAGGTGTTTAAGACCATGTCTACGAGGGGATTGGAGCCAAATGTGATTTCCTATAATGTCATACTTAACGGGTTAGGTCGAGAAGGGAGGATGAAAGAAACAGGAGAAGTTCTTGAGGAGATGAAACGTAAGAGAATCATCCCTGATGAAGTGACTTATAATACACTCGTGAATGGGTATTGTAAAGAAGGAAATTTCCACCAGGCACTTGTTTTGCATGATGAGATGACAAGCAATGGAGTCTCTCCAAATGTTATTACTTACACTTCTTTGATTAATAGCATGTGCAAAGCTCGGAATCTACACAGGGCTATGCAATTACTAGAACAGATGCGCATAAGGAAATTATTTCCAAATGCTAGAACATACACGACCTTGATTGATGGCTTCTCCCAGCAGGGATTCATGGATGAAGCTTATCGGTTGTTGGATGAAATGAAAACGAATGGTTTTTCTCCATCCATTGTGACTTATAATGCTTTAATCCATGGACACACTGTAGATGGAAAGATGGAAGATGCTTTAGGAGTTCTTGAGTATATGGGTACGAATGGGACATCCCCAGATGTTGTAAGCTATAGTACAATTATTACTGGTTTTTGTAGGAATCAGGAGCTAGACAAGGCCTTTCAAATGAAACGCCAAATGGTCGAGAAAGGTGTTCTACCTGATGCTGTTACCTATTCTTCGCTGATTAAAGGTCTTTGCGATCAGAGGAAACTAACTGAAGCTTGTGATCTTTTCCAAGACATGTTAAGAATGGGTTTGCCACCTGACGAGTGTACATACACAGCTTTGATAAATGCTTACTGTGTAGAAGGAGATACTGCAAATGCTCTACGTTTGCATGACGAAATGCTCAAAAAGGGTTTGTTCCCTGATGTTGTCACATACAGTGTGTTGATTAATGGGCTTAGCAAGCAAGCTCGAACCCGTGAAGCAAAACAGGTTCTTTTCAAGTTGTATTATGACAATGCTATTCCAGATGATGTAACTTACAACACATTAATAGAAAATTGTGGCAACATGGAGTTGAAGAGTGTGGTAGCTCTTATAAAAGGGTTCTGTATGAAAGGTTTAATGAATGAAGCAGACAAAGTGTTTGAATCAATGCTTCAAAGAAGGCAAGCACCCACTGAAGCTGTTTATAACATCCTTATACATGGCCATTGTAAAGGTGGGAACTTGAGAAAATCATTTGATCTTTATAAGAAGATGATAAATCATGGATTTGTTCCTCATACTGCAACGATTATTGCCTTGATAAAAGAACTCATAAAAGGCGAAATGACCTCAGAGTCGAGTGAAGTTATAGAAAACCTGTTGAGAAGTTGTTGTCTTACCGATGCTGAGCTTGCAAAAGCTCTCGTTGAGATAAACCACAAACAAGGAAATATGGATGCAGTATTCAAGATTCTTTCTGAAATGGCCAAGGATGGGTTGCTTCCAAATAGTGGCAGAACTGCGTATGCTCAATGATCATGAGCCTGCAATACCGTAAACCCGAAACCTGTGTCGGATTCATCAATGGAGCAGTAGATGCCAGGGCATAATGCTGCTCATGTTGCTGCTAGAACTTACATGAAGTGCAAGATACAGTTGGACATACCTTTACTACAGAGTGGGTCAGGTGTGATCTTTAATGCATCTTATGTTATCATTTTTCCAACTATTGAAGGAACTGCAACTTACTGCAGTGTGTAAATATAACATGCAATCCATCCTTATATTACAACATCAAAAAATTTGGGTTAGTCTCTAAGGCCATGATCCCCCCTTACATATACTCACTTGCATAAATGCGAAAGTTCAAATGAGAACTATAAATATTTTGGAAACCGTGAAAACCAGAGTCTATACACATATATATACCACATAATAATGCATTTTGCCAAAAACTCTTAAATACAACCCATAAAACATAAAGTACTGCTATTTTATGCACACAATCTAAAAATCTCTTAATTACAATTTAGTTGGCACAATGCAAGTTATTTATGCATGCTTCTAACCCCACACCACCACTATTGATATTGGTATATGACTCTTATGATTTGATTCCACCAGGCGATTCAAACTTTTGATGGATTCTAAGATTTCAAGATTTTCGAATCTCATCTCTTGCTCCATAATCTTCTCCTTCCCTCTCCACTTGCTTGATTTCCATTTATGCTTCCATTTCTCCTTCGTATTCTAATGTTGTTCAGATTTTGTCTATAGTCGAGCCAAGACCAAATATATATATGCTCATTCGATTTTATTTGCAGTATTTCAATACCATGTTTCCTTGATTCAGGACTGAAATTTTCGCCGATCTGTGTATAGAGCAGCATCAATGGACACATAGTTGACGGGCGTTTGGGAATGGGAGCAACCTAATACGAATCTATGAAATTCTTGGATGTCGTGATTCGAATCAGATCCAAACTACAAATCAGATTTGAAATGAGGAGACAATCTGTCACTCTCCTTGATCATCCTTCTCTTAAATGAGTTCATTTAAAGTTTTTCAATCATACCTTTCTAGGTCCAGTCATGGTCACCTGGTAATCTTCCTTCCGATCTAAATTTTCTCTAGACACTTGATCAATGAGCAAGATAAAAAGCTTCTGTTAGTTTTTCTGTATGTAGTAGCTTTGCTTCTGACTTGTTCCATTTAGATGAAGGAATAAGAAGCGACTATAGCGATTCGAAGGGCAGAAATGATGTCATCAGTGGGTTGCTCTTCTCATGGGATGCTGATGCATCAATGGCAGTAGCATGCCCACTGAGTAGTGATGGTATTGCGGATGCAAATATTAGTGCTCACAATGAAGATAAAACTCAGTGGAAGCTTTCAATTGCTGCTTTCAACGTTAAGGGGGTGTTTGGAATTGCTTATTTGAAACAACTTATGCTTTTCTACAAAAGCACTTATCAACTTATTAAAAGTCAGAAGGGTTTAATTTCTTTAAAAACTCATTATTACCAGTTTGGTATCAGTATAAGTTGTTTATCACCGGTACCATACCGGATTAAGTCAATAAGTTGTTTTTATAAACAATCTCAAACACCCTCCAAGAGGTTGTTCGGTTCAAATTTATGTCATTACTTCAAATACCAAGACAATAGTACATAATGAAATATACATTTCATCGCTTTTTTTCCGTTTTACCAATATATACTAGAGGCCCCAACTATGTGTTCTATTTGGTAAAAAAACATATTATTTATGCTTTACATTTTTTGCACAGGGGAACTCGGTATTTTGTGAGATCTGTGAAATCTTATCTCAACCACAAATCGAAGTTTAAATTAGGAAATTAATATTTTTGATAATTTTAACTTAATTTTTTTAAATAAGGACATTTTAGGTATTTTAGAAATCCCTTCGACGTGAACATTGCACTGTAATATCCACTGTATACATGTTGTGATACATCAATTAAGATCATCGTGATACTCACCGTATATACATTGTGATATCCTAAGATACACTGTAAATAATAAAACACAAAATGTGATACAAAGGAAACAATGAAAATGCATTTTGTGTTGCTAACATCAAGGATTCAAAGGTAACAAGAGTTGTGAATTTCCTATTTATAGGAGTTATGGGTTTCCTATGTCCTTTTTATTACTAAATTAAAACTTTCAATATATTTAATAAATAACATAATTATCTTAAATGAGTGATGGATATTAATATCATGGTTATCACAAATTATTGAGTTCTCATTTGATAAGCCGCATATACAATAAAAATCTATATTTGTTGATTAGTATATTCATCAATGTATATGTACCATATCTGCAAAGTATATAAGCACCGAAGAATATGGTAAGGATCAAGAATCTTACCCGCTAAAAAAAAGACAAGTACCGAGAGTCTTATCCGGTAAGTGAAGGCAACGCCTCTTACCATGTTAAACACCTACCGGGTAAATTGTTTCATACAATGTCATTTTGGTAGATTAAAGTCTTACCCATTAATTAAGTAGTAGTGTTAATTTTACCGGCAAATACTTACCGAGTAAGCGTTTGGTAAACGGTAGTTTAACTTCCCGATGTCCTTTTTTTTGCTGTATCGATGCTTTAAATGTGGTAACGCAAAATTGGAATGAATGCAAACTTGTGTTGCGAGGCCTCAGCTTCTGTGACATGGAATCCTTCAATTAGAGCACAACATCTCCACTACTCAATGTTAAGGCAAAGGCTGTTTTAGGAAAAGTTTTGGCTGAATGGACTATGGAAACATAGCATAGCTCAATAAGCCCTAAACAATCACTCCGATAATCATTAAGCATTCGAAACCCCAAATAGACAGACCCTCCTTGCACATCTTCAAGAAGTGCAAATGAGATGAAACATGAAACCGCACGCCGAAAACTCAGTAAAACCAATGTCAACAAATACTAATAAAATTCGCATAAAACTGAGCCCAAGTCGTAGGTTTCTGACCGAAAGGTCACATAAACAACAAAAGAACCTGTTTCGCAAGTTAATATACATAAAGTTTATCAACAGTATGCAAGCATACCTCTAAATTAACAGAGAATGGATATAAAAACCGAATCTTTACCCGAATAGAATCTATTTGACATTTAAATTTCGAACCTTGAGTTAGTTCATCTCACTTAACTACAAGAAACAGAACTAGTGGCTAAATAGGATTGCAGACTAGTTATTAGCAAAAGAAGGCTAAACAGAGTTATGATCCTAACAAAGTTACAACATATGGGTAAAAAGGCAAGAATAATAAGCTTACAGAAGAACCCTTCAAGATTGATTCATTTCATCTTGAAGAAAGTCTCTGATAAAGATCATCAGCCAGCACCTGTCTCAAGCTTTCTCCAAAATAATAGTAAGATTTCTCAGTTTCCAACACCCTTGGCACAGGGCCACTCTCCTCAGGCTCCTTCCACAGCTCCGGCTCCGGCTCTCTTGCAATCTGACACAAGTTATGCAGCACACAACAGGCCACAATGGTCTGAGGTGCATGGTTCAATCCCACATTCATATCTTGAAGAATCCTCCATCTTCCCTTTAACAATCCAATGGCTTCCTCCACGACTTTTCTCCCTTTCATCAAACCCTCGTCGAAGGTGTTCTGAGCTGGATTCCCAGTTCGGTTCCACGAGAATGGAGTTAACAAAAATGACAGCAATGGATAACACCAATCGCCCACAATGTAAGGCCTAACAGGATGCCCTTTCACATTCACAACTTTCTCCCATACAATGTCACCAGAAATCAGCCTGTTGTACAGCAAACTATCGCGAAAATGGGTGGCATCGTCGAAGGCGCCTGGGGCTTTTACGCAGACATCCCAGAAGATTTTCTTGTGATCTGCTACTACTTGGAGCTGGACTGATCGGAAACCATGGGAGTTAGTGTAGATATTAGGGTTAGGGAGGTTGTAGGGGAGGCTGTGGAGGCGGATGTGTGTGTTATCAATGGCGCCACATATGTTGGGGAGGGAGGTGATTTCGGTAAAAGCGGCGGTGGTTTCCTGGAGACGGCGGCGACCGGCGGGGATCTTGATGAACTCAGGGTAAAGTTTGGTGGACAAGAGGCGAGTGACCATGTTGGTGATTTTGGAAACGAGGTAGGGTTCGAGAGAGTAACGTTTAGCTAGGGTTTTAGCGGAAAGGCCGAGGGAGAGACGGGAGAGGACCATGGCGACGGCGTAGTCGGAAGGGAGAGATAGGTTTGATTGTGCGATGTAGGGTTTCAGTTTGTCAACAACGGTGGTGAAGACGGGGTACGAAAGGCCGTAAAGGGATCGCCATTGTGCGTCACGTAGAGGAGCTTCCATGGCCCAGATGCGTTCGGTGGAGAGTGCTCGGAAGGCGGCAACAGAGTATTGGGAGGTAGTGGAGGGAGATGGAGGCGGAGACGGGGAGGAAGCGGGTTTGCGGGTGGTGGAGATGTAGGAGAGGACGGAGGCGATGGTGAAGAATAGGAGAGGGGCGGCGGAGGTGGAGGTTAAGAGGGAGGAAGGGGTGGCGGAGGCGGAGGAAGTGGAAGAATCGGAGAGGAGGGAGGTGGTCGGGTCGAGTTGGTTTTGAAGGTGGAGTAGGTTGGAGAGCATAATCAAGAATGATTGATCCATCTTCTTCCCGAAATTTACACTTCAATTGAATCGATAGACGCTAAATTCACCTCTGTGAAACCCTAATCTTGTTCATGGAGTGAAAGTGGAGGAAGACGGTCGTGGAGTTGCAGAGATCGCCGTTGAAGATGGATGCCGACGACGTTGGAGGATGTTTTGTATAAATAATGTAAAGTTTACTTTTACGCCCTATACTTTTATGGATTTCCCTTTATGGCTCGTATAAATAACAAATAGTATTTTTCACCCCTGAAAAGGCTAGGTTCCTTTCATTTTGGTAATCTTATCTATATCTATACTATATTAAAGTATTTGACAAAAATTCTTAAAGATCATTTTTATGTACGGAGTACTGTTTATTGATACACATTACTTAAAATTTAAGATTACAAGTAAATTTTGCATAAATACAACTTATTAAAGCTCTATATTTGAATTCATGTAACTAATTACAGATAAACATAATCAAATATTGGATAGACATCTCATTTTAAATATAAAAAATCTAAAATATAATTAGGATAATTATTGAGTTCTAACAGAATACTTAGTTATCATCTTTATAATAAAAAATATATTATTAAACCTTAATTAAATTTCTTTGTTAGTAAATCTAAATTAAATTATAATTAAAAATTTGAATTAAAGAAATTACACCAAAACACAAGAACTTTTGAAAAAGATTAATTTGATACTGATGTCGATATATATATTTTTTTTCAAAATTTTATGATATTTTCACATTTATATTTTATTCAAAAATAAAAACATTATCGCTTTCTCAAAACCATATAAAACCGTATTATATTGACATAAAAAAAAGAATAAAACGAAACACTGAAATCAAGATGTGTCTCGATGCATTGCACGAGTACCCTTCTAATTTCTTTTTTATCTTCGAGTCTTTAAGAACATCTCCAACAACCATGTTACAGTAAAAACTTTGGAGATTTAAAGGAGTTTTTTCAACATGTTTTTTTACAACTGTTTAAAATGTCCCTTCTCTTAGACAATATATTTATATGCCCATGATTGTTACTGTATCAGTTCCACTTATTCTAGATAAATAGATATTATCAAGTAATATTTTATGTATTTAAATTATTTTGTCAAATATTATAATTTTCAAATATAAAACGTAAAACTCAAAAACATTTTCTAAAATGCTCGTCGCAACGGTCGTCATGACGTGTCGTGACTCAAGATTTATGTCTCGTACCACGGTAAGCATGCGACACACCATGACCTAATGTACATTTTTAACTCGATATTTGATTTTTCATATCCTTTTAATGTCTTATGTGTTAGTTTTGAATATATAACTTAATTTAATTTGTTTATCATCATTGACTCATTGGAGTGATAGTAGAAAAATGTATATATATATATATATATATATATATATATATATATATATAAAGAAGCAATTAAATATAAACCGCTTTATTTTGTACAAACCCTACAAACCAATCTCATCGATCTATTTTCATGATCAAAAACCATTATTATAAAGGAGTTATTTTAGTAAAGTAACAAAACAAAATAAATAAAATTACTATTTTATTATCTAAGAAAAGACAAAACTGGAAAGAAAAAAAAAAGTTTCAACCTATTGAAATATTTTTCCCCATATTCAATCCCCTTTCCTCGCATTAATCGCATTACAAGTTTCAATCCACTGAAATCTCAAGATGAAACGATACGATTTTATACAACCTACAACTATCTCAATCCAAATTATTTATAATAAATTGGTAAAGGAAAGAACAAAATCATGGATATCAACATTAATGAAACAAAATCAGAACTTTAAAATATGCATATATGATTTTATTATTAGAATGATTTTAACCAAAAATGCTAGGAAAATCTGGAAAATAATGTATTCAACAAAAAAATTCTTTATTTTATGAGTAAATATTAGAATTAAATAAAATTTCACGTTAAACTAGAGTTACCTAAAAACTATAAAAGAATAGAGATTTTGATAAACACTTACCAGGTAAATTATTGTATATGATACGTTATGATGTACTACAATCTTACCCAATAAAATAAATTATAGTGTTGACTCATAACGTTAAACACGTACCGGGAAAACATTTAAGTAAACGACCCCTAAGTGAACATATATTAAATTTGGAGTATATCAACTTCATAAATCTATGTGTTTTTTTAATCGAATTGATTCTACGGCAATATACAGAGTTGTTCCTAGCTAAATTTCAAGCCCCCCTCTATCTCTAATTCCTAGCGATACAAAGCATTTGCGAAAAGATTTCAATTGAAAACGCAATTTCAGACAATGAGGTTAGGATTGTTGTCTATCACAAACATATTCGTGATTTGGTTAAGCAAGTTGCAAACCCATTAAGATCAATTGAGAATGCGTAGATGAGTCAGCTCTAGTTCTATATACGTCGCAGGGTCTCAATTTGTTGTACAACATGTTCGCTTAGATTGTTGAGCATCAAAACCTTCGTTTGATCAGCTCTGACGAGATTATTGGTAAGTATATGTCATATGTCACGTCAAAACGTGAAAGATGAATTTTTGTTATGTCCCATATTACACCAAATATAAGACAATGAGTTTTGTTCTATCCTCACACAACCTTAGGGACCGTTTACCAAATGTTACCTGGGTAAGCGTTTACCAAGTCACATTACCTTACCGGATGAATATGACAAGGACAAAAAATTTAACCCTGTAAGAGCAAGACAAAGAACAAGAGTCTTACCCGGTAAGTGAAGGCAACGACTCCTACCACATTAAAAGCTTATCGGGTAAATTATTGCATACGGTGCTGTTTTCATGGAGTAAAATCTTACCTGATAAGTAAGTAATAATGTTGATTTTTACCGGTGATCACTTATAAGGTAAGTTTTTGGTGAACGACCCCTTAGCTCACTCTCTCTGCCGTATCTAATTTAGATATAAATTACTTTGGTGACAAAAGGGCAACAATAGAAGTTTGAAGGGTAATATGTGCCAATATGCTATTTTGACGGGGGTTAATTGAAGGGCCTCTTGATAGAAAAAGGAAGGGCAAAGTCAGGGTTCACTGCGATCAAAGTTGGAAGCCCTAATCCTGATTAAAATCTTCTTAACGTGCGCAAATTGTGGAGAAAATCGTGGGAATTCTCCATTTTGACACTGGGATTCTGCTTTAATATCGACACCTGCGATAGCTGATTCATCTTGCAACAATGACTGAGGTACCGTCTTCATTTCTCCTGTCACTGGTTCTAATGGATTCTATGGAAGCTTTTTTAATCAAGCGATAGTATTCTATCTATCTTCTGATATGAACGTAGTTCGATTTCACGTAATTGTAATTTTCTTCGTGGAGGTTCATCGTGGGAATTACATTCCCATTGTCGTTGATAATGATAAGATAGAGAACCAAGCAACCGAATAAAAACAAAACCATTCATGTTTGTTAACCAGTGGCATTCGCTCACGGAAACCTGTTTGCAAGTTGGAATTTAGCTAAGAAATGTTCTAAACCACGAATGTGTGGGAGGATAGAGTGGATCCAGTGAAGAAGATGAGATAAACAGAAGATAAGTTTGAATCAACTAAACTGCAATGAAATGACTTTTTAGGGAGAATTGCGCTGATTCCGAAAACATTTGATCATTGTGCTTTAGTAAGGCTTCATACTCAATGGGCACTAGGCTGTTGGCAATCATTCCTTGAATTATCATATGCAGTGATGTGATTGCAGATGTGTACTGGGCCAAACATCCATCCGAGGCTTTGGCCTTAATTAACTGAAGTTCACCTATGCGTTCATCCCTTCTAATGTAAACCTTCTCACCATTGAACTAAAATTTCATTGAATCTTCTTCTTGAAATCAAGTTGCATAGGTCCTAGTGTCTGGAGCCACATAATGCCAAACATCCTCCCAGCTGAATTATCATGACCTCTGTCCTGAAATCTTCCCTTGCATTTTCTATGTAAAAGTTCGACATATATGAGTTTTTAAGAATCTCTTAATTGGATATGGTATTGACCATAGGCTTAGTTCTTCCACCATGCTCCCAATCATCTCAACCATGGTGGCGACAAAAAGATTGTGGGTTGATCTTAAATGGAAGCTCCTTGAACTGTCCAATGAGTCTACCTGTGCTATAGCCTCACCTGTTAATTGCTTGAACTTACATTTCCCCTTCTACTTCATTAATCTCTTCATTGCATTTGAAACTCTGGCTTCCTCCTCCATGTTACACCTTTCAACGACCTCCCCTTTTTGTATTATGTACAATTTGGGTTTTCTACACACAGGTTTTTATGCCACTTGTCCCCACAAGCATGAGGCCTATCTCCTTTTTGGATAAATTTTGGCTGGGTAATTACATTAGTATTCGTGTAATTACTTCTCCCCTTTTGCTTATTTGTACACACTGTTAGATCCTCTGTTGACCAATTCCCCTTAGTAAGGATGCAGATTTCCGCTGCCTCACTCTATGCCTGATATCTTCACTCAAGCCTGAAATGTAAGACTCCAGTAAAATGGTTCTACTAACCCAGGGTCCACCACATTTAAAATGTTCCTTATGGCTTTCAGTTTTTACAAGTACTTCAGAAAGCTGGAGGTGTACCTCAAATTAGGAAAAGGGCTGTCACTACCCTCATAATCTTGTCAAGCAGCACAGTCCATCCTTTGGTAGTCAGCCATAGGGAAGAATGAGAAGAATAAACCCCTTTCTAAGCCACCTCAGGGGTCGTCTCAATCGAAATAGGAAATATGGGTTTTGTTATCTTGATTTGGCTGGTGGCATTATCAGCTTCTTCTTTGCTTTTCACATTAAGTGTCTTCAAGTTGAGCTCGATGATCTTTGCTTCCCAGTCTTGGACTAGTCAGACTGTTTCCTCCAAGGCTTTAACGGTGAGTTCAGTTTCTTTTCTAAGCTTCCCAGCTTGGTCAAATCCTTTAGTCATTTGCAATAAGGTGTGATTCTGTCCTCACTGTTGCTGCGTCGACGTGCTGCACCTTCAGCTTTGTGATCGGTGGTCTTGTTCCCAAATTTGCAAGAGATTTTTGCAAAGCCTTCGTAGTTATAATTTTTGCTGGGTTCTTCCATGGAGCATCACTCTAAATGTTGCAAGTTAGAATCTATCAACTGTATTGCTATGTATTGTTCCAACCACAAGTTTATTCGGTGGAAATACTCAAATTAATCACCAAAATATGCTCCTGCCCTTTTTCTCTAGTAACATACTACTTATAGTCTCCAAACAACCTCTGACACATGACCGTACTAATCGAGTTTGTCAATGAAACCTTGTTTGCCAATGTTTTAATCTAAAATGGCTGGTTTTAGTATTTCTACCAATTTTATTTCTATGTATAACCTATGCACTAAATATGTGCTCTATGATTCTATCTTATACGTTTTGATTGCTTAGTTTTGTCATGGTTTATGCTTTGCATTATATGATTTTTGATATCCTTTACTATCTTAATGACATCCTATTTCGTTGTTTTTCAGTATTGGGTTAGTCAGGGAAAAAAATGGTGCGACTTATGCAAAATCTTCATATCCAATAATCCTTCCAGTATCAAGAATCATGAGCTTGGCCAACGTCACAAAGATAATGTTACCAAGAGGCTGGCTAACATGAGAGAAGAGAAAGTTGCCAAAGATAAAGAGAAAAAGGAAACGGCCCGTGTTCTCACCCAAATCGAAGAGGTGAATATGATATTTTGTATGAAGAATAATTATCCTCAATATCAATAATTTTTTTCTGTTCTTATGTCCGTGTTTCTTTACTCTTAAAAATAATTTTTGTAACTATAACATTGAATTGGGTATCTTCACCACCCACTCATAGCCGGTTTTTGAATGTTTATTCATTTTTAATGATTTTTTTGTTTTTTTTCTTGAATCTTGCCATATTCTTGGTAGCTACTTTATTAAATACAAGCATGAAGGGCCTGCTTTCAAAATCTTTATCCAGAAAGATATCTTAAACATTTGTCACACTAACCTTGAATAAGTTGTTCCTTGTGTCCCAAATATCGAGAAGCCATCATACATCGAGGCAGTGTGTTGATTACAATATATTACAATACTTATGTGGTTCCTTTCCAAATTGCTGGCAGAAAGCGAGTCGTAGCTATCAAAAGGACATATCAACTTTTCAGAGGGGCAGGGATTCTAATGATAACTCATTAGGTGCTCAAACAAGCAGTGAAGCGATAGGTAGTGGCTCTACAACATCTGGAGGTTAGTAAAGTTCTCAACAGATAGCATGTTGGGTTTTATGGACATTTTGGCTACACAATCTTTTTTTGTACTTAATGTTTGTGCACACATACACATGTGTATAAAGGTTTCCATGATTGATAATTTAAATGTGTGTTAATCATGTTGCGTTCTTTCTCACTTACTGAATTTATTCGTTATAATCTTTTATGCATGTACCTTTTATGAAAAATCCAAATTAATATGGAAAAGTAGTAGATCATTGTTTTTATCAAGAACTCAATCTCATGATGCAATAAATTACAATGCGGTTTTCTTCTGCATCCAATGTGTTTAGCTTTTGCCATGGGTGTGAAGTTGGTCAACATTGATGTGAATTTCAAAGATAGACAAGTAACTGAGCTGCAATTAGATCCTCTATGTGTAAATGGATAAGAACATATTAGTTTGAATAGTCATGTTTTGTGGTTCTCCACTCCTATATACATGACTTGAGTCGGGTCTATTGCAGGTGACTGTAGTCAGTCAACCGATCTGCATTGCATAGTGATCAATGTTATCTGACTGCTTATCCCATTGTGCGGTAGACCCAAACCTAGTCCTGAATGCACGATCTCATAATATTCTGCAAGTCGAGAAGTATCTCAAAACACAAGTCTAGTGGGACATTATTAAATCAATTTGTTGGGTTTATTATATTATGGTAAGGTGAGAAGACAATTGCCAGGGTAATCTATTATGGTAGTTCTGAGGTAAGTGTCCCAAGAATCCCTGCCTAGAGCCACCTAAGTGTCCCCCTAGATATTAAGTTTTACCCCACCTTGATTAGTTGGGGTGCGTAATCGGTCACCTAGGAGTTTCCGCATTGCTTCACTTGGCACCTAATCATTGAACTAAACATCTCACAAAATTAGGCAGGGATTGATCGACTTTTCTCAACTTCTATTCACGAATCAACTTTTTTCTACTTGGAGGTAATCATTCCCATTTTCTCCAAGTAATAGTATCTATGGAACTAATATATTAGAAAAGTAATTATGTCAAAGTAACATGGTGCCCAAAGTTGTTAAAGGCTCAAGGCGCACTTAGGCACAACAGGGTCCCCGGGCCTAGGCGTGAGGAGCAGGCCTGAGGTGCAGGCCTCAGGAATGCGAGGCACATCTTATCAATATATACACACACACTCACACCCACACACACACACAGTTACACACGACAAGTCTCCAATGCAGCAACCAACAGTACTTCGATAGAGGCAGAAGGGTTCAAAGCATGAGCCATGAAGGAGAAGTTATAAGGTCTGGGTATTTATAGAGGACGCTTGAAGTTCTAAGGACTTAGTATTTAGTATCTGGGTTTGACTTATGTCATCCATTTAATAACACTTCTTTTAAAAATCTAGGAGATGAGAAGATGAGAAAACTTATTTACTCTTTGGGTTTTAACTAGGTATTTAGCAACTCTTTATGAGGCGCACCTAGGCCCACAAGGCGCCTCAGCCTAGGCGCAGTGCCTTAGTGAGCCTTCTGAAGACGCTGAGCCTCGACTTGAAAAAAGCCCAAGACCTTGATCCTTATGAGCCTCAGAGCCTAGGCCCCCCTCTGGTACGCTTTTAACAACTATGTTGGTGCCAAAATTTTAAATCTCATAAATGAACCTTCTATGCTACTGCTTAAGTATCTGCGTAATACATAGGTGATTAAGCATTGAAAGGCTATGTTTGGCAAACTAGCTGCTAAGGTAGCTCCAACTGTTGGCTAATAAGAGCATTGTTATGAACCGAATTGATTGACAATTGAAATAGAAACCAAGTGATAAGGACACTGTCAGATGCTTGCAAGGAAAACGAAGAACAAACTAGCATTTGAGAGGCTAGAACTCTCCCATATAGAACCCACTAATTTTCTGCATGCCTTGCACCACTACATCCTCCCTATTTATACTAAAATTATTCTAACAAGTACCCACATAACCACATTACCCCCTTCGTAACTATTCTAGAATATTACATAGGAAAGGGCTTGGGACTAAGGTGGGTACATGACAAGCATCTCCAACAAATTCTCCAAAATGGAGAAGCAAAATTCAAAATCTTCAGAAAAAATTACATTCAACTCAAATAGCTTCTCTATTTTGGAGAGTACAACATCAATAATATTATTAAAATATTTCATTCTATACCCGCTACAATGCAATTATTATATATAAATGGACCTTTTGTCGAGTCGCTTCTGTATATGTGTAGATCGCCTTCTTATATAAGAAGTAGGTATATGTCTTCTTATATAATAAAATAGATTTTACCCGTATAGTACAGTGAGCAGTTCAGGAATTTACTCAACCAAGCCCTTTTAACTCAGTGGTAGAGTAGTGCCATCGTCATGCGTAAACCCTCGGTTCAAATCCAGTACATTTAATAAATATTATTTCTCTCCTAAACATTTTATTTCAAGTTTTCTTATTGGTGGGAATATAATAAAAAAATTATTTCTTTCTCATGGTAATCGTTTCTGGGGAGTTCTCCAAATTTTGAGAATTTCATGCTCTCTCCCCCCTACTTTCTCCGTTTTAGCGAAAGTTTTGGAGCAAATTTTTTGCCAAAAATCACAATTTTCTCCATTTTGGAGAATATGTTGGAGATGCTCCAAGCTAGATGTTAGTTGATAAACTGGTCATGTTTGGTAAAAACAAGCTGAAAAGCTAGATGGCAACGTAAATTGACCTAAAAGGACATGTCGAAATTGGAATATTAGAAGGGGCATTATTGAAGAATTTTTGAGACCCCCCAACCCACCCCCCTGCGTGCGAAGCTTATAGAAAAGTCCACTTAAAGTAGTTTTTCAAAAGGCTAGCTTGTAAGTTTATGGAATTATGGCTAAGAAAATGGGTTTTATATTTTCTTTGATGAGCTAAAAATATAAGCTAGTTTATGGTTGGTAAATTGTCTATAATCACTGGTTGCCTAGCTCCACTTAACGTTTTCTAGAGCATTGTCTGAAGCTATCTAGTGATATTCCGGATTGCTTTTTAGCATGATCGTTCTCTCTTTAAATGACACATCTTTTAATTGATGACAGAATGGGAGCATGATGCCTCATCGGGTTATCAGTATAATCGAAGTAACGGCTGTTACTATGATCCAAACTCTGGCTTCTACTATACCGATGCTTTAGGTACCATCGAAACCACATTACTTCAACCCTAATCATGCTTTCTTGAACTCCCATTATATTCTGATTGCCAAGATTGCAACAGGTAAGTGGGTGCCAAAAGAAGAGGCTCTTGCTGCTGCAGCTAAACTCTCTTCTGGACCCATACAAAAGAAACCCAGTTTTACTACCATGTCATCGACTTTAAAAAGTCACACCGACTCTAAAACTCAAACGCGACCTGTAAACCCCACACGATCGGTTAACAGGCCATCGTCTCTTGCTATAAACAAGAGAAAACGACCTGATGCTAAGTCAAAGGTTGTATCTGAGGAGGAAGCCGCTGCACTCAAGGCAAGAGAGGCTGCAAGGAAGAGAGTCGAAGAGAGAGAGAAATCCTCGCTCGGTCTTTATAAGCATTGATATGTCGACCACACACTTGATAGCACAAATCTACGGTAGTAAGAAATTCTATGTCTGTTTATAGCACAAATAGTTTACCTTTTGATCTGCTAAAGTTGTAGCAGATCAAATGACAAAGCAAACACTATCTTTGATCTGGCAAAGTAGTGTTTGCTTTGTCATTTCAGCCAAAGCAAACACTAGGTTTTATTTATGATGAAAAGCCAAGTATGATAAAACATCTTTTTAGCTTGTAAATTTATCATCTTCTTCTTTTATTCAGGAGAAAACGAAACGGAAATCCGTGGGCCGATGGAAATGAGAGGTTTCGCGAACAATGTAAGGGTCGATCCGACTCCTGATATCTTGAAAATACGAGACTCGCAAAATCGATATGTTTTATTGGTTCATATCTTGTTTTTATTCATCCTATCAACATGACCCATAAAATGGAGAATCTTGTATGTGCATTCACATTACACCCTGTCACGTGTGTGAGAAATTGGCAAAAAGGTGGTTGGTGGGGGCCTGGACTGGTGTGGGTTTGGTGGTTCATGAGTCACAGTTGAGGATGGAGTCCACTTGGTTGATCCATTTGGTCACATAAATCGGCCACTGACCATACATTTTTAAATTCCTTTCAGACCCCCCTCCCTCATCCAACCGACACCAATTGGCCATTATATTAAACTCTCTTGAAGAAATTCGTATCTCTAATTTAGTAATATTCAAATACGACTATTTTATCATATTTAATTTTTATTTTTGAGATATATATATATATATATATATATATATATATATATATATATATAGAGGAGCGATCAAATGAACCCACTCCAATTTGTAAAAACCGTAAAAACTACTCTCATTCGTCGATTTCATTGTTTAAT